AATAGTGACCACCGAAGGAAGAAATCTTCATCCCGTCATCACATTATAGGGACTGAGGGACTTGGGGCGCCCAGGAACAACTGCATAGCTTCCATCCCCCCTGTGTCCTGACAGCCTTAACATATTGCCTCACTTTGTGTATATGCAATAACCTAAGGATTGGGTTGTGGGTGAGCTGGCAGTGCAGGGGCAGCATGTAGGGATGTCTGCAGCAGTGAGAGCATCAGGAGAGGAAGTCTCAAAGATGGTAGGAAAGTGTGCATCTATCTGCGTGTGCGTGTGACTAGAGTGTTTTGGGATCACATAGAGGTGTTAGAAATGTGTAGGTATTTATGGAGACTTCACACATGCCTGCTGTTACATTACCAGCATATATCCTGAACGCATAATCCCTCATTACCTTTTTACTATATATTTTTAATAAATTCCCAAAATACAGATTCTGATTTTGGTTTAAACCAGGTGAACTGAGAGACTTTTATCCTGAAACAAGAATCAGTCTGACAGAAGGGTGATTTTGTAGCAAAGCCAGGGTTCCTGTTGCTCCTCCTGAAACACAGTATGTGACACAGTACCTGATGGGACACTCATTTCTGTGCCTGGTCACCTAATGGAGTAGATCCTCCTCGAAAACATGTTATGGCATATGGAAGACAAGGAAGTGATTAGGGACAAAGAATGAACAACTGACATATCCACCTGGACTCTGATATGTTCTCAAACAGCATCCTTTCCTCTAAACTGGAGAGACGTAGATTTGATGGACTGTTCAGTGTGATAAGGAATTGTCTAGATGTCTATTTCCAAAGAGCAGCAGTCAATACCTCTATGTCCAGGCAAAGAACAGTGACAAGAGGTGTCCTGCAGGAGATCCTTGCTGTTTAGTATCTTCATTGGTGAGACGGACAGTGGGAATATAGTGCATACTCAGCAAACTTCCAGATGACAGTAAGCTGAGCAGTATAGATGACACTTTGTAGGGATGGGATGCCAAGCAGAGAGATCTTGAAGGCCTTGAAAACTGGGCCCATGTGAACCTCATAAAGTTCAAAGGCCAAGTGAAAGGTCCTCCAGCTGAGTCAGGGCAATCCCAAACATGTATACGCTGAGTGACAAATGAATTGAGAGTAGCCCTGCAGAGGTGGCCTTCATGCTACTGGTGGATGAAAAACTCAACATGAGCTAGCAGTGTGCACTTACAGCCCAGAAGGCTAACTGTACTCTGGCCTGCATCAGAAGAGGCGTGGCTGCCAGGATGAGGAAGGTGACTGTCCCCCTCTACTATGCCCTCATGAAGCCCCATCTGGAGTACTGTGCCAAGGGTTGGGGCTCCCAGAGCAAGAAAGACGTGGAGCTCTTAGAGGCCATGAAGCTGCTCAGAGGGCTGGAGAATCTCTCCTATGAAGAAAGACTGAGGAAACTTGGTTTGTTCAGCCTGGAGGCTCTGGGAAGACCTCACTGATGACTTCCAATACTTAAAAGAAGGCTACAGGAAAGATGAGGAGAGACTCTCTATCAGAACGTGTAGTGTTAGGACAAGGGCTAATGGCTTTAAACTAAAAGAAGGTAGACTTTGATTAGACATATAAGTAAGACATTCTTTACTCCTAAGGGTGGCTAGATACTGGAAAACGTATTCCAGAAAGGCTGTAGATGCTCCATCTCTCAAAGCATTCAAGGAATGTTCAAGGCCAGGTTAAATGGGCCCTTGAGCAGACTGGTCTAGTAGAAGGTGACTGCCCATGGCAGGGGTATGGTACTAGATTATCTTTAAGGTCTCTTCCAATACAAGCCTTTCTGTGATTTTATGAATCTGTGCTGCTAGCATCTCAGGTATATGGGAGCTATTTCTCTGCAAACAATCTAGTTTTCAGTGCTACAGAAAAGGTTGTATTTTAACAGGGAATCTTGCAAGTGAAAAATAGGACAGAGGAGGCAAGACAGAACAGAAATGAGCAGCACACATGGAGGCGGAAAAGTAGATCTGAGACTCTACTGGAGGAAGGTGTGACTGAAAGTGCATGGATCAGTGATGCCATGGATAAGAAAGCAGAGCAGCAGAGACAGTATGGGACAGAAATATTAACAGATAAGGAGGAATAGATGAAGCAGAGCTGCTAACTCAAAGAATAATAAGGAAGGATAAAAATAAGTGAAGTAGAAAGAAAGGTGAAAAGAAAGGAAGATAAAGGATACAAAGAAACAGATTCCTTTTGCTGAAATAACGGGAGTATTCAAACAGAATGTGAAGAAGAGTAGATTTTACTTGAACTGTCTACAAAGCAGTTGTTGGAAGGATAGTTTTCTTGGAGAGAGAGGTGGACTTCATGGTTCCCATAAAGCACTAGGAGAAGCAGTAAGCCACCTGAGTAAAATATCTGGAGGCAGTGTTAAGCTAATAAAGGAAGTTTGGGAGGTTAAAAATGAAAAGGTTGGGAGGAACAGGACAATTCAGCAGAAGGAAAACTGGGTCTGAGAGGGAATAACAATTGAAAGTATTTCTCTGTATTTCCCATCTCTTGCATTTTTCCCTGCTCTGAACCAGGTAGCACTTAATTTTGGATAGTTTTACCACTGGAAGTATATCTGCTCAGGAAAATGCCTAAGTTTTATTCCAATGAAAAGAACACTAATACAAGCTCATGTAAAATCTAACATTAAGTGCTACCCAAACACGCTCTTGTATAATGGTTTAGAACTGAAGCAACAAGAATACATAAATTATGGGACTGATGTTGCTGATGCTACCAAACAGATAACATCAGCAGATGACTTTGTTTCAGTGTGCACGTTTTTTGTTTCAGAAAATGATTAACGTTCATGTCAATGACAGAAGTAGTGACTTCAGATGTTTCTGAACCTGCATTTCTCCCTCAGTTGGTATAGAGGATTAGCAGTCAGCAGTCAATTCAGCTTGTCAAAGATGTCTTGTTAGCCTCAGTCCATTTACTTCTTATTTAAAGCTAACTAAGAGAAGTTAGTCTGTTATTTATGAAATTAGTTTGATCAGTTATTTCATGCAACATCACTGTTACATTTATATTGTTTTACATTAAAAAAGAGAAAAATACTCTCCAGCAAAAGCTGACAAAAGATGACTACCTAGAGTGAATTGCTGCCCATTATGCCCATTATTCTTCTACTTTATTCAAATTCACCTGAACATTTCTATCAAAATAATTAGTGAAAGCAAAATGGGTACAACTGATGAGAAAAAAAAAACAAACAACCTTAATCCCTTCTTTTCCTTTAGCTTTAATAGGTGCTGCAGGGCTGGTTAATGGACTCTGCCAATAATAGTACAAAAGAGAGATTGTCAGGGCAGCTCAAGAGGCCTGGAGCTCGTGGGCTGAAATCCCTACAGCATATTAAATTCTGGAATTTCGTTGATGAAGCCAGGGTAGTGAATTTCCAACTTTTACAAGATCAAGAGGTCCTTCACATGGAGGAGACTACTACCAGAGCCAAGCAGCACCTCAGAAAAGAAAACACATGGCAGAAATTCTGAATGAGCTCAAGGTCAGGTGCTGCTCAAAGCTCCAAAACCAAAATACACGATAAAACTGATTTTTTTTTTTTTTTTTTCAGACAACATTGTGAAACATTCTGCTTTCATTTATCACTTCTTGACAAAATGCCAGAAGGTCCTAAAACTGCATAATTGTATGAAATGTACTAAAATTTCTTAAACTGTCATTTTGAGGCTTAAAACGAAACACGGATCTGCTCTGAGTTTGGTTTCTATGGTTTAAGCCTGTAAAAGGACACACCTCGTACTTGAGTACTGACGGAATGGGAGGAGAACCACAGACTTATGGACAACAGAACAGTACTAAACATCAGAATGACCAATCACTGTTGTATATACACTAATAGACAGACATGAGAGTTAAAAGAAAACATCTTTCAGTTGTGGGTATCTGTTCATTATGCAATTAGGTACCCAAGAGACATAATGCGTTACTAAATGTCCCATAGCTTCATAAGCCCTAAAGTGAGGTTATCTGTCAGTAGCCTTCCTTTCCGCTTCAAGCAATACCTCATTTCAGAGGAGAATTAGCCATATTTTATACGCCCATACACAATGAACCCTGAAATAAGTCTCTCTCATTCCCTACCTCATGTTCCCATTTCTGTCACTAATGTCCTTCTTTACAGCGTTAGCTGTACTTTTCAAGGCATCTGGGCACATCTGTTTTCTCTTTTCAACCTCTATCCATTATATCATCATTTCTAACAATTTTTTGCTGCATTGGTAACTGTTACTTTCTCGTTTTTTCTTGCTCTCCATCTCCCCTTTCTGTGTTCTTTGGACTCCTCTCTACAACTGTATCTATCCTTCTGGCATGCGCTTTCCTCCTCCCCTCACACCTCCATGAGCCTCTTATATCCTGTGTCTGCAAAATTCATTCCCAGCACTCTGTGTGGTTTCCTTTCCTCCTGCTGTTTAATCTGGAAGAGGCAACTTCATTCAAAATATGCCACTCCTCGAGCCTAATAAAACCTACTTCTCTGTATGTGCTACTGCTCTTTATTCCAAAAGCCTTCCCTTCTCACGTTCCAAGAGAACAAGTGCTTTCTCTTTGATGGGAACAATCTCTCCTTCCCGCCAGACTCTCCTTCCCGCTCTCATTTTTTGAGCTCTGTATCACCTGGTGAGTTTTTCATGTCCTTCAATGATATTCTATACACTGTCATTACTCCGTTGTCCTATTTCTTCAGTTCCTAGGAATGATCTATTTCTCACAGGACAAAACTTGACATGAGCTGTCTAAGCACCTAACATCACAGCTGACCTCAACTATTTTTTTGGAATTTATTTTAAAGATCACTGAGGATAAGACTTCTAAAGGTCCTCTGTGAGTAGCTAAAGTTTTATGTCACTTTGGCAAATGACACAGCAAGCTTGCAAACTAACAGTTTTGTAAGGCTGTTCTGTTTTCTTCATACAAGAATGATTTTACGGATGCCACAGTCACACAAAAACAGTTCTACCTTACCTTTGACGTGGCTTCTCCCATCCTCCAACAGTGGCACTACTATAGTGTTGTTCATATTCCCAGGTGATCTCACAGCTGTATAGACAACAGGTACCGACTGTACCACAACAGGTATACGGTGCACGTGACTCATTTTATTGGATTGCAAGTTCATGGGGCTTGAAGGTGGAACTGGATGGATAATGTGCAAAAATTGCTGACCTCCGACACCAGATGCAGAGGCCACAAGAGGACCTGGACTTAATACTGATGGTACAGATGCTGCTGAGGATACCGATGTTATTACTGTGGGTGATGAAGCTGGTCGACTCGAAGAAGAAGAAGTAGAAGTAGAAGAAGGGGAGGAGGCTGATGCTGTCATGGAAACTGGTGAAGATGAAGCTGCTGTAGGGGATGACCTGGCTTTGTTTATTGATAAGTCCACTGGTTCAGTCTGTGTTTGGAAATGATCTGTAGATAATGAATCCTCCGGGGGATCTGCCTTCATGTTGTTTAGTAACAAGGGTACAGCTTCCATATCTGGGTAGTTGTGGACGTTTGGAGACTGTTGGGGAAGGATAGAAGGACATATTTTTAGTTACATATGTGGCTAAAGGCAACATAAACACCCAATGTGTCATCTCCAACAGAGATGGTCCCCAGTATTTTTTAAACAACTTTTCAAATGCTTGAAGACTGTAAGCTCTCCTGCTTGTCTACTTTCTTCTACACCAGGCAGACCTTGCTTCATCTTTCTGTCATAAGTGACCTTTAAAAGAACAAGTCTAATCACTTGTTCACTCTTCGCAGCAGCAATTCTTATTTGAGTTAGAACATCATATATACTTTTTTTCATTATTATACTTTCCCTTTTTTGAAAATTTATTTTATAAACTAATTAAGAAAAAAAAATCCTGATTTTGCAAAACAACTTTGTGGTGTAGGCTAACTCATTCAAAGCTAGTTGGCCTAAGTTTATTCTAGAATGGTGACACCTGTGATTTTTTATAGCTTTATTCTTTATTTTCATCATCAATGTGGTTAACAGAATTTTTGGATAATAATACTGGGCCAAAGATAGATCCCTGGAGAAGCCCATTTGATATATCTTCTTTTCATGACAGCACATCATTAATAACTACCCTACAGAAATGTCTTTTTTCAAGCAATTTGCAATAGGAAGAGCAAGAAAGGAAATGCCCATTGATAACCCGGTAGTAAGAAAACGCTTAATATTTAAATAATTTTAATATTTTAAATTTTAATATTTAAAATTTGGGATTTTTATATTCTACTATGGTAAATATTTTCATTGAGAATCAACATTTTTGAGTCAGAGCCAAATTTCATCACAGAATGAACTTCAATTACAAACGGAAAACAGAAGCATTAATATTAAAAACCATAAAAACAACAGCCTAAGTGGGTATTACCCCTAGCAATATGAAAGATGAGATGTTTAGTAGACCTCATCCATTCAGTTGATTTAGATTTGTTCTTGGACCAAACACTTCCCCCCATTTGAAAGCAAGAACATCTCTGGAACAGCATGTCTCCTGCTCTATTCACATACAAATCAACTTAAAACAAAGAAATCCCAATTCATCCGGCCACAGACCCTGCTGTTCTGCGGTAATACAAATAAAAACAAAAATTCATTTATAAAGACAATGGGGATTTCTGCTTAAAAAAGAACACAGCATAAAGAACAGGTCACTTTTCAAGGAGTGTAACAAATGCAAGTGGCAAGGTAGTGAAAATTTCTTCTTCTTCAAAAAGGTAGACTCTGTAATTGCTCAGCGACGATTTCTTACCCTGAAACACCATACTGCCAGTAATGAAATTCAGCCTTAGGTACATTGGATGTGCAATGATAAAGACAAAACCATAAACATACATAGCACCAAGTGGGTCGTTTTTCAAATCTTGACAACAGCTGACAGAAGTCTTACACATGCAATGGGCAAGCAGCCTGGGTCTGCTTAGCTAAAGAGACCAGTGGCAGAGGGAAGGCAAGGTGGAAAGGGATACCCTGCACACTGTATGGCAAAACCTTTAGATGATGTTGCTTTCAATCATATATCCTAAAGGCTTAAGTAAAAGGGGATAGCTCGGATTAACCCATGTACAGGAGAGATGCAAGATCCTCATGCATCCCCTTGTGCACAGGGCTGGGCAAGGGTATGGTACAGCATTTAGAAGCAGAACGAATTGCCAGACCCTGGTTGAAGAAGGGCAGATAAATGGACAGTGAAGGAACCCGTGCATGTTGATCCAGGCTTCCCCTGGGTGCGTGAGGCAGATTTCAGTGACAGTGCTGTCTGCCTCAGTAGGATCTGGACCCCAGACTTGTACAAAGCCGCTGCCAGCACTGCCAGTGCAAACAGGACTGACAGAAGTCATATTAAGCATTCTTTCCAAGGATAATAAGTCAACTGCCTTTGAGATAGAACACACTTCATGTATCACAACAGTCTTAAAGCTCTTTCTTCATTTGTTGTATGGAACAAAAAAAAAAAAAAGAGAGAAAAGTACCATGTAACAACAGGCTACCATGTAAATCACTTTCTTTTTTAGCAGTCTGTATATATTTTTCCTATCACACAGTCCTTATACTATATCCCCTTTTCATTAGCACACTCTTTCCATCTGGTTTCTGGATCAGCCCTTGTACGTGATTGGGGCTGCTATGTACTATGGTAATACACTTACTATTACCATTTCAGCCTTCATTAGTGTCATGGCTTTATGGTTTTTGGTTATCGGTATTCCACATCATAACATCATGTAGTGCACTGGGACTTAAAACGTTAATGCTCAAGTTCTGGGTACCTGTCCAGAAGAGAAGAACAACTACATTCCCCAGGAGGCTTTGCAGTAAGAGAGGAGATATAACCCCTGGCAACACCACCAGATGCCCTCTTCTTCGTCCGCTCTTTTTCATCTCCCTGCTGCTCAACTGGACTGCGCATCTCACCTCAGCATTATGGTGAGGCCTATCCACCTTTTGGACATTCTCTCTCTCATTATATTTGATTTATTAGCTCCAATTCTAATTATATTGTATTCTAGTGTGTTATCTTGCATTCCGATACCATATTTAGTAAATTAGTTTGTTTCTCCTCAGATTGTTGCCACTGTTTTTAATTATTTTGGGATCCCCTGTTTCCCTTTTCCAGAAGCGCGGATTCTGTGAAATCCCTCTGCCCCACTAGTCACGGAACTGGGCCAAACCAGCCCATAAACCATTGACATTCTTGGTGGAGAATGCAGGCAAGAGCTGCTTTTTAGCTTTTTAGAACGAATCTCTATCTCTGCTCTTGGGAGTTTCACTGGGAAAGTTTATCTTTTTCACAGGTGCTCACTGAAAATTTGACCTTGAAAGTTCAGGTGGACTGCCAATAGTCTGGGATATTTGTAAACTTTGAGCACTGCTATCTTGCTTCTGTAAAGAGAGAAAAAAAAATGATTCTGCTTTCTCTTTTAAACCTGTTTGCAGAGGGAGCTGCTAATTTTACAGAACTTGGGATTTTTAAGCAGGTCTCTCCTTTGAATCCTTTATGCATTTTTTAAATGTTGATCATGTTGTTAATCTCCCTGAATGTACTTCTCATCATTTCACTCAGTATTTGTATTTATCATATTTTGAGGAAGTCTTATCCAAAATCAGAGAATACTGAGTGGCAGGGAGTGTGGAGAGGCTTGGGAGAGACTTTAGAGACATGGACATCTTCAGTGTCATGGAACTTCACTCCTGAACACCTGAAAGACCCTGAGAGCTTAAACAGATATTTGAGACAGGAATGTCGTGGCTCAGGCAGATCTGAGGAGGCACAAATGATTTGGGGCCTGGCTAATGCTTATCGGGCCTTATTCAATACTATCCCAGAGAGGGAGAGAGTTTGTGAAATTGAGAGAGAGTGTCTGAGAGCTGAAAGGGAGAGTCTCAGGGAGGCAGTACAAAATGAGCAAGACAGTCTCCAAGCTGAAAAGGAGAGTTTCCAGGAGAGACTCCGACCCGAGAGGGAGAACCTCCAGGCTGAGTGAGAGAGTCTTCTGGTCGAGAGAAAAGACCTGCAATGGCAGAGAGATGCCTTCTGAATCGAGAGAGACTCCCTGCAATCCCAAAGAGAGAGTCTCCAAGGCAAGACAGAATCTCCGGATTGAGAGTCTCCTAGCCAGGAGAGAGAATCTCAAAACCTGGCAAGAGTGACTCTGAGCTGAGAAAGAAAGTCTCCAAACTGAAGGGGAAAATCTCCGAGCTGAGAGAAAGAATCTCCAATCTTGACGACATGCCTTCAAATCCGAGTGAGACTCCCTTCAATCCAAACTCAACACCTTCCAATCTGAACGGGACACCCTCCAATCTGAACTAAATACTCTCATAATTGAACGAGACAGACTCCAAGCAGAGCTAGAGGGTGAGAGCATCAGAACTTACCAACCTGATCAACCACAGGAGGCACCACAATTGATGTCAGTTGCCCCTGTGAGGGGATGGAAAATGAAACAAATCTTGACTCAGAACAGGAAAGAGGAAGAAGGGTAAAGTAGAGGAAACAGTCACTCTAAGAGAAGAGGAGGAAAGAGGTCCAGAGGAGTGGCTCTGAGATCCAGGCAAAGCGTGCCTGAGTCCAGGGGAGGGTCCCTCAATAAGACCGCGGTCACCAACGCCTATGAGGGCAGCAAGAAGTCCTGAAAGAGTATGAGGTTAACAAGACATCACTATTACAGATCGATCTCTGAAAATGAATGAAATTTGAAGTCTGAGAAAAGACTTTTTACACCACCCAAAAGAGCCTATTGTCACTCGCTGACTTGGAAGTTGGGACAACGGGGCCAACAGTGTGGCCAGATAGTAGAGAAGCTCGCCAACTGGGTGGGACTGTTAGAGACTATGCCATTGACAGAGCTATTAGTACATGCCAGAATGGGTCCTTCACCCTCTGGAATGAGTAGTTATAGTTAGCCGTAAAAGAAAGATACCCCTTCAAAGATCTGATTCCTGAGAAAAAGAAATGGGCTGATATAGAAGAAGGCATCCACTATATGAGAGAATATGATGTGGTGGAAACGCTACATAGCCCCGATTTGCCACTGTTTTTAATTATTTTGGGGTCCCCTGTTTCCCTTTTCCAGAGGTGCGGATTTTGTGAAATCCCTCCACCCCACTAGTCACAGAACTGGGCCAAACCAGCCTGTAAACCGTTGACAATTAGCAAGTTGAAACTTGAAAAATTCACACTGCCTTCACGAATGTCTACACAGAATAAAACTGGTTTGTGCTCCTATACCCTCCTTTCACTGGCAAAACTCTAAAAGTAAGACTGTCTGTGCTTTCATACACTCCATCTGTAACTGAATTCAGCTGACATTACAAAACACAGCAGGATCCTTACTAGTAACAGTTTGTGCCTCCTTTGGCTTAAGATAAAAACTGTAAACAAATGAGTTATATTTTGTACTGACAGTAGTCAATATAGACACTACTCCAACAACTTGCACCCTGACAGTGACCTACACATAACGGAGATGTGTGGGAGCGGGAGTGTGGAACTCAGTGAT